TGTAGGATAGCGGCCTCTCTAGGCTACCACTGACACCGTCTCTGTGGCCCGGAGCCCCAGAGACCGGATATTCGCGTTTCCAAGAGCTTCCGGAAACCTCGGCAGAGGGTCGCTGACGTGGAGGCGTCCGAAGGGCAGCAGGGTGTGTCCGGCCTCGGATTAAAACATCGGAGTCGGAGACCTGAGAGATGCTAACCAAATTCGAGACCAAGAGCGCGCGGGTCAAAGGTAGCGGAGAAGAAAAGGGGGAACATGGAGGCTAGATGTCAGGGGCGGCGCTGACACAGGGAAAGAAAATGGGTAGACGTGCTGGCTGAATTGGGCCCATCAGACGGACCCGGAGGAAGAGGGAGGGTGGGAGAGAGGTTAGGCCTGGCGAGCGGTTCTCCAGTCCTCTCTTCTTTGGTGTGTCCTTGGGCTTCGATTTACCTAAAACTTGGCTCCCATACTGCAGGGGATTCCTTAGGCCCCCTCCCTATTCTTTCTTCTCTCTGTCTTGGCTGTGCTCCCGACTTGTATTGTTCTGCCCCAAAGGCTCTGTGACCTGTTGGCTTTTTGATGACTGTGTTCCTTGGAGTGGCCCTGGGGATTGAGTCTCGATCTCTGTTACTCGCACCCGAGTCAGTAGCTTTTCTGGAGACGAGGAGCGGCTACCTCACTTAAGGAGGACTTGGCTGCACCATCTCAACATCAGTGCCTCCATTCGGCTTTATTTCCCACCCGGAAATAGTACCTTGAGGCTTATAAACCCAATAAAGTCCCAACTTAATAGGGTTGCCAGATAAAATGCAGGATGCCAAGTTAAATTTGAATTTCAGGGAAACAATGAATAGTTTTTTAGTCTGTCGTTGTTTACCAGAAGTTCAAATTTATCTGGGCATCTCGTATTTTTATTTGCTAAGTATGGCAACTCTAGAGCTCGAGCATGGGTCGTTGGGGGTGGAGGGCAAATGACTTCGAGATAGCAGTATTAGCCTCAGAATGTTAGAATGGGAAAAGCAGACAAGTAAGGTCTCCTGATACCTGGAAAAATAGGTTAGAATATTTAGTAAGATGCAGCATAACAAAGTGGTTGAGAACTTGGTCTTTGACGTCAGATGGGCTTGCTTTGGAATCCTGAGACATCCACTAACAAGCTGTATGACTTGAGTGACTTATTTAAGGTCTCTAAGTCTCTATTTCCTCATCTGTAAAATAGTCTTTTATAGAGAGAATTAAAATGAGAAAGTATGGAATGTATTTATTACAGTGCCTGGTGTAGACTCAGTAGGCTCAAAAACTGGCGGCTGTTATGAATGTGTGAATATATTCTGAGCAGTTTCTAAGTCTCTTGGGAAACTTGATCTTGAAAGGTGGGTACCACTAAGAATTTCTGAGACCTGGATAGTTGATCTTGAAAGGTGGGCACCACTAAGAATTTCTGAGACCTGGATAGTTGAAATTGGTCATCGTAATCTTTCAGTTTTCTTTCCTGCTCCTAATTTCTTGCTGGGCAGGAGAGAAGGAAAAGCAAAGATGTCATATTTGAGGGCAAACATGCATTGTTGAGTGTACCTGTATATCATAATGGAAAAAAAAAAAGAACAACCTAATGGAAAAATAGACTATTTAGAAGAAAAATTGTAAATGTTCAATAAGTAATGAAAATAGTCCCACCTCACTAGTAATGAAAGAAATGCAAAAAAAAAGTGAGGTTACTTTTTTGGGGGGAGGGTCTTAGATTTATAAAACAAACAAAACAACAAATAACTGATAATATCCTGTGTCAAAATGGGAACCTCCATAAACTTAAGGAGACTGCATATTGATACAGTGTTTTTACATTTAAACTACATGTACTAAAATGTTAAGTGCACATGTTCTATTCCTGAGCAATCTCACAGGTCTTTAGCCTAGAGCAATAATAATGCAAATAGGCTAGATTATGTGTAGAATTATCTTCAGTAGGCTCTTCTGATAGTCAAAAATTGGGGAAAAAAGTTAAATGCTGTTAGAATAAATGTAGTAGGTTTGTCCATTGTAGTTAAAAAGAGTGAGGTTGTGTTTATATGTACTTTAAAGAGATCCACATTGCATAGTTAAGTGAGAAAGAAGTTTGCAGAACAACATCATAATGTGATCCCCACTTTCATAAAATGCTAAGGCCTATGTTTATAAGTAACTGCATTAAAAATCTGAAAGGATACACTCCAAACCATTAGGAGTTGTTACCCCTGGGGACTTCCATTTCCAGTCATGATAGAATAATAAGGACCAGATTTACCTTCCCACCTTAACTATATAACTGAACAAAATGTATGAAAGAAAGGTTCATAACGTTCCCCACAGACACTGGGCAACAGGCAGTGCAGGAAAAGGATTCTTGAGAGAAGGGAAATAAACAAGGGGAGTCCTATGATTGTCTTAGATTACTGCCTAGAAAGTTTTCAGGCTTCAATGAAGAAGGGAATCCCTTGGTCTTTTTTTTTTTTTTTTTTTCTTTTTTAATGATAGATAGGTACACTAGGTCTTTTGAGGAGACAAAAGTTTAGAGTGTGGGGAAGCAAAGATGGCTAGATTTTGCTGGGCAAAATACCGGAGAAGAGGGTTCTGCACAGAGAGAGCACTGGAGATCTGCAGGATGTCCTCTCGGGTCTTTGTCTGAGTACTGATCTGCATGTGAGAAAACTATTCAAAACCTGAAAAAGAGCCACTGGCAAGGAGAAGGCAGAGCAATCCCCAGAGCTCACACAGGTCTGGAACTAGTTTTTGTTCTTACTGACCAGAATGGAAAGACTTCCTAAAATTACAGGGCTTCGAATAGATACCTCAGATGGGTATTGCTTTAATAGTGGTTCCAGATTAGGCCTAGAATAAAGGCTGCTGTAGCCCCCCTGTAATAAAACCTAAAAGCGAGGCTTGAAAGGATCAACTGATTCCAATTAACTTCATTGCATCCTAGAGCAAAGCCCAGCAATATTTAAGGGAACATAGCAAAAACCTAGCACCAAACATAAAATTCATGATGTCTGGCATCCAATAATCGTCAGGCATGTTGAATGAATGAATGAACCTAGGATTAACCTTGCTCTTTCTTTTTCTCATCAGAATTGACAGAAGATGATATCATGGGCTTAGTTAGCTTATTGTATCATTTTCTGTTTTTTTCAGGGCTCAGCTTTCACCCCAAAAGACCTTGGATCCTGACTAGTTTACATAATGGGGTCATCCAGTTATGGGACTATCGGATGTGTACTCTCATTGACAAGTTTGATGAACATGATGGTAAGATATTTCTAGGAGGAAGTTAAAAGAGTATAAATATTTATCATCTCCTGGGGTATTTTAAGCCTTACATGTATTCCTCTATGATTAAAGAATGTGGAAGTGATAGAACTGAAAAATCCTATATAGGAATCACCTTAGAGATTAGAAAGGATAGCTTTCTCTAACACACATTGCCTTCCTTTTCCACCAGGTCCAGTGCGAGGCATTGACTTCCATAAGCAGCAGCCACTGTTCGTCTCCGGAGGAGATGACTATAAGATTAAGGTACAGAGAGTCTGTCATGACTGAGAATAAAGGACAGAGGATGTGGGAAGGTTTGGGAATTATGGAAGGGACTGAAAGACAGGAAAGTTCGTTCATATAGAGCTCAGGCTTTTGACAACATTATCCAGAGAACTTAGCCAGCAAACATATTGAATGGTTACTGTGTACTAGACACTGTTTTCTTTTTTTGGAATTCAAAAATAAATAAGAAATGGTGTCTGTTTTCAAGGAGCTTTTCTTCTAATAGAGGAGATAAACATCTATCCAAGTCATAGCATGTATAGTTTGGTGAGTGACAGAATAGAGAGATATTCAAAGTGAAATAGGAAAGAACAGTCCGGGTGCAAAGACAAAACGCATGGCACAGCTAGATACAGGGCAACTCTTACTAGTTTTGTGTGGAGAAAACCTGGAGAAATAATACGAGAAGGGGCAGAAGATGAGAGCGGCCAGATCATGGAGTACCTGTTTGCAGTGCTCAGGAGTTTAGATGTCATCATGCAGATAAGAAGGAGCCATTTAAGGAACTTAAATACAGGAGTGATATCAGATGTATATGTTTTTAAAACGATTACTTGGTGGTAATTAAAGAAAAGATAGGATGATTTGGGCAAGACTGGAGGAAAAGGTACCAGTTAGAAAACCTGGGCTTAGGTAGTAGCATTTGAAATGGAGAGAAGGAGATGGATATGAGAATTTAAGGAAATGAATCAGTAAGTCTGTTGGACGATGTTGGAGGGCGAATAAGGAAAAATAAATGAGTTGACTGTCAGGCTTCTAGTTTAGGTCACTGGGTAAAGGGGTGTCATTAACTAGGGAAGGAAAACCAGGAGGAGATAGTTTTCTGGAATGGAAGAGAATGGGTAATGAATTCCATCTTGTCTCTGATGAGTGTGAGGGACCTAAGGGACAGTGTAGTTGAGGTGTCTGTGCTAGAAATATATTTGCAAGTTGGCATGATGAAGGGAAGAGCCAAAGGAGAAGCAGTAGAAGATATTGCTCAAGGAGTAGGTTGAATAAGGAGACAAACCATCATTTGAGAGAGAGAGGAAGTACAGTTAGTATGGGGAACAGTGATTCGAGGGGTTGGAGATGAACCAAGAGGAAGAAGCAGCCTCTTGGATGTCAAAAAGAAGAGAATTTTGGGAAGGAGAAAGCATTTAGAATAAGATCGAGACTGAGAAATAACCTTTGAATTGCTTAATTTGGAAGGCATCAGTGTGAAAGCAGACAGAATGTAAGCAATTCTTTGAAGACGACTGACTGTGGTAATGGCAAAAGTTAGGGCTAGAGACTAGCAACCTGCAAAAATAAATCAAAATTTCCTCTATTTACTTCCTTTAGCTGTTTTCATTAAGTCTATGTATCAAACCAAACCAGTGAAATTTACTTCATAAAAAGGTAAAGTCTTTTTCAAAAGCTACTTCGAGAAGTTATATACTGTGATTATACTGCAGAACTTAGGTGACAGGAGTGAAGAGTGTGACAGCTGCCTGCAGAGAAAGGAGCTATTAGAATTGTAGGAAGGACATTTCTTTCTGTTTTCTAGTTTTTAGGCACTGCATTCTGGGGCAGTCAGAACTCAAACCACCCGATAGATCTCAAAAACCCATAGTATATCACTTCATTATAATATTTTAGTATTTGTTATTTATAGTGATGAACATTGAGTATCAAGAGCAGTTAACTTGGGTTTCTTGTAATCTGTTTAAAAAGGAAAAGTGGGGTGTTATTTAAAAAAAAGTTTTCCCAAAATAACTAACATTTTGGAAAAGAAATTGTCTTCCACTTATGAAATGTCCAGAATAGGCAAATCTATAGAGACAGAAGTAGATTAGTGATTGTCTAGGGTAGGAGGGGTTGGGAGGAAATGAAGAGTGATGGCCAATGGGTATGAGTTTCTTAAGGGAGTGAATAAAAATGTTCTAAAATTGATGATTGCACAACTGTGAATATAGAAAAATCTATTGAATTTTATACTTTAGATGAGTAAATTGTATGGTATTTGAGCTGCATCTCAATAAAGCTGTTACTAAAATAAAGGACTTCTTTATTAGCTGGTAGGTGTGTAGTGCTACCATTCGGTGGTTTTAATTTACATTTCTCTGATGACTAATAAACTTGAACATTTTTTCATGAAAGGGGGGATTATCTAGAAAAGTAATAATCTGTGGACCATCATATTGCTTGCTATATCCAGATACATGTAGCATTAATATAATCCTCATTTACAAAGGGTAAGACAGGGAGCCCAGCAAATGGTCAGAGTATTGGTCTAAAACCCCTATAAGTCTTTAAGGATTTACAGTTTTGGAGTTTGACATAGGCCATTAAAGGAGTGAAGCCATTATCAAAGTTTAAAACACTGACCTCCATAAGGGGAAAGAAGTCAGTTAAAGAATAGTGTTTATGGTATGATCTAATTTTTGTGTGAAACTGTACTGTGTACATGTATATTTTTATGTATGTAGCTGATTGAATAGAGGTAAGGTATGGGAAGAATTTGGCTTTCCATGTTCTTGTTTCCATACATAATGCTTACTGAGCACTTACCTTGTATCAGGCCCTGTGTTGGGTGGTAAGGGTATAGTATTGAGCACGATAGACAAGAACCCTGCCTTTAAGGAACTCAGCATTGTTGTTTGAAAGATCATACTTCTGGATTTTCTGAATTTGTTATAGGAAATAATATTTTTATGATTTACTAAAGAAAAGTTAAAAATTAGAGTAGTAACAAGCTGGCCCAGATTGACTATAAACAAATATTAAAAAGAAATTTAAAAAAATTAAAATTAAAAATGTGTCTGGTCTCTTATTTTTGTACTTTCTAGGGGATTTTCTGAATGAGGAAGATAAGCTGTTTTATATTTATGATCCTGGTTTTCTTGTCTTCAGCTCTATCTATTGATGCCTAGCTCTTTGGTAGTTGACTCAGAATATGATATTGTCTCTCTGCTTAGCTCAGCCTTACTGAGCAATGTAGTATTTTCCATGTAATAAGTTA